TGAGACTAAATCCCTCAAAATGTTCTGCCATATTATTTGGCAATAAAAGATTATGTGAAAACCTTAAACCATTAATTCACATCAAAGTTAATGGGGAGGAAATTATTTATTCTGAAATAGTAAAAAATTTGGGCATTCACTTTGACTCGGACTTACGTTTTAACTCCCATCTGAATAATGTTATTTCTAAAATGTTTTTTTATACTCCAACTACCAAGAAGGCCTGAGGCCTAAACACCCATTGGGTACCGTGGGGCTATGGGGGATACAGGGGAAAGGGGGAACGCCACACGGACTCTGGTGAGGGAACTCGTGTGCATGCAACATGCACACATTCTGGCTCCGCCTACGAGATCCGCCGGGTGGTACCTCCGCGTTCGACAGTCAGAGACCGTCTACCAGCTACGGACAATCACAACATCCATAGCCAAGAGAAAAATTTCTCTTGGAACGGGATTCGAACCCGCACGGCAACTGATCAGGAGACCGAAGAGTCTACTACTGCGGCCACCGCTGCTGCCAGCAGTTATATGGCTTATCCATATATTACCCATGTCTGACGTCTATTAACGCAAAACGTTTGCAGATAATGCAGAATACCTGTGTACGGTTTATCGAAGGCCTAAGAAAGTTCGATCATGTGCATGGTTATGCGTTCAAAACCTTTTCAAAAACTCCATTCTCAGCTTTACTCACAAGATCATACTAACATCATCCCCTCAATATCTCAGCTGTAAACTTGTTCCAAGGGCCTCTTTGCATAATCTTCAGGTTCGTAGCCGTGACACCTTAACTATGCTAATACATCGCACAACACTTTTTAGACGAACTTTCACATACAATGCAATTTTATATTACAATAGCTTAAGCCAGGATCTGAAGACTATCCAGTCTTCCCGGAGTTTTAAAACTCAGTTAAAAAGATATTTACAAGAATTGCGAAACAACCGCTACCTTAAGTTCTTTCATTTTCATACTTTTTTTATCTTTGATTAATTATTTTTCCATTTCTTCATAACCTATTATCTCTTCTTCTTTTTATAGCTAAATTGGCATAAATAGTCCTATTATACTGTGACTTCATCTTTGTAGTTTTCACATTTTTTTTGTTTTTGTATTACTTGTTTTTCACTTTTGTACGGGGTTAGATGGTGGAATAGCAGGTGCTAAATCTCGCCCCATGTAAGGTACCATGTTTTGGTCAATAAAGACGATTATTATTATTATTATATATGGATTTCACTGTATATTTTTTTAAGAACTGTCCTGACGAAGTATATGGTGGGTTCATGCAAGACTTAACGCAACTTAACTTAAGAAAATGAGCATTTAAAGCGCATGCGCGGCCAGGATTGCCAATGTAGCAATGGCGACAATATCAACATTAAACACACTAACAAAATCATATGTTTAACGTCAAGGTAGCAGATGAAAGAGTGTTTTGTGGCTTATGTGTCACGTGAACTGGCGGACCAGCCTTGACATTGACAAGTGGCCCCTCCCCACACGCTTGCGCCAATGCACTGGTAATTAGTCACAGAACTCGGATAATAGTCCAGATAATATCGGAACATCTGCTCGGAAAACTCTTCCGATTCCTATTTTTGCATAATCTGATTCAAGGACCTCTTAAAGAATTTGCATGTGACTAGGCCCAAAATTGCTCCAAAAATTGTTATTAAACCGATTCCAAAAATTGATTTGTTCGCTTTGTTTAAAGTATTTTGCGGTTTTTAGGACATTCTGAATAAAAAATGAGCTTTATTACTTTTCTCTAGACTTGATATATACAGGTATAAGCAATGTAAACATTCAAAATATGTCATTTGCTACCCTAAAAACAATATGAAAAATGAATATTTTGATGTTGCCAAATCTCTCACATGCTTCAACCAACCAATAACAAAACCCCAGAGCATTTGAATGCGCGCTCAATGTATAGTCTATGTCTATGTGAACGCGAGAGAGAGATGAAATATCTCTCGTGCACGCTGAATATGCATTGAGCGTCCGCTTGCATATCAATTAAATACAAAGATTTATAATAACAGTATCTCCTAAAAGGTATCGTTAATGGATATTTATGAAGCATGGCGACATTAACATTTTCGTTTTTTCAGATCGTTTTTCGGTATCGCAAAATCAATTTTTTGTACTTTCCCATCTCGTACAAAATCAACTTTTGACAAACATTGTTAAACATCGTTTTGTTTCGGAGTATCAAAAAAAAAACGAATGCTACCTTTGATGAAGCGAAAACATTAATTTTTGTAGTTTATTTGAAAAAGTTGTTCAAACAATTAGAGACGCAATTTGGAGCCTGACAACATGTAGATTTGTTACTAGGAGGCTTTTCGAATAACATGCAAAAAGTCCGAATCCGAATATTTTCCTGAGCAGACGTGAAGATATTTCTTGGACTATAACGACGGCAGCGCTACCTTTATTGGCTGAAAATCTGGTGGAACTAAAAATATTGCAAGTATGCCGACAACGTATATCAGGAATGTCAGGAATGTGTCGGCGATTTCAGTTGTTTACATTACGAAATCTGACTGACGACCTTCCCGATATTGGGGCACTTCGATGATCATAGATGCATAACACATCCTCAATAAAGGAAGTATTTCTTTCATCCGTTTGACTAGTAATGAATTTCAGGATAATAAAAAAATGTATAATTAAAAAAATATATATTGAACCCAGCAATAATAGAACAAATTCTTCATTACAATAAATTGTACATACATAGAAGTATTCTACTCATCTGGATTTTTCTCTATATATTATATTATATTTATTGCGAAAACATAAATACTAAAATAACAAAAAATACATCTGTAGTTAGAGGACTGACTGGAATACAAATATAATCACTCTGATATGTGAGTGAAAAATAGTTTTGCGCACACTGCTTAATGGGTAAAGGCAAACATAATTGTCCTCAAAAAAAAACACATAAAACACTAATTCTTTCTTCAACCTAGGAAACAAACTCCTTATGTCATTGACAATTAATTTGGTATCCATAAAATAAATGACGATCTTCATTCCAAATGTCTCCTCGAAGGATGTTGACACTGTGAAATAAAAAAAAATTATTAGCATAATATCACTGTCGTATTTGGTCAGCAAACACTAAACAGAAACATAGTCATCTCACCACGCCCCTTCAGATGATACTGCTCTGTACATATGTATAAATTCCCAATCTAGCAGTATACATTTGATTGCCAAAATTCTGCGTGTAAACAAATTTTCATTGGTGATACCAAACGCCAGTCCTTAATTTGGCCCTTTACCAGATTTGTTATTACCAACAGTACCGATGTCACAAAAAAAGTTACGTGCTACTCATCTGTTTACCTCAATAAATGTCAAAAGAGATTACAAATTTGGTGGGCTGCGAATACACAGCATTCGCCAGGTGTACACCTGGTTTGTAGTTAATGACAAAGTACCTTCACAGTGTTCTGTGAGGTTTTGGAAAAACATGTCATGGGGGACATGGTATAGATTTAAATTCTCTTTTTTCTTCTGTAGGGGCTATAATTTGACAATATCACCACTGGTACAGTTTCAGACATGAAAGTGTTTGCATCTATTAGCTATGAAGTCAGTACCACAAGCACAAAATTTTAAGATAATTTCCATATTTTTTTTTCGTTCTCTAGAATATAATTTCAAAATCCTCTATCTTGGTGAGGGGCAATTTAGGACCCATGTTTATTTTTTTCATGCTGTTTTTTGATCTACTTTATGCTGTAGCAATAATGATATGTTTTGCTGAAACTACCACTATACGCACTTTGTTAGGGGATGAAGTAAACATGACCACTGACTTTAATTATTATAAATTTTAACATACATCTCTGATTTTTTTTATCAATCCGCAAATAATTTTTCATACAACTATCACCGAATCATCTGCCCATACAGCGATACAAAATCGATCAAACATCACGATATAAATATCGACTATCGACTTTTATACAGTATCGATGGCTCGTAGCCATCTTCTAATTCCAGCTGTAGCGATCAGCTGACCAACGCTAGTAATCCGATTGGTTGGTTCTTAAGATAAAGTTCAATATATTGAACTTTATTTCAAGAAGTGACCTTGAAATAAGAAAACGACCATAACCTCAATATATTTGGTCATTTATGCAAAAATGAACTGATTTGGATACTTACTGCAACGTCATCATTGGGCGCTCCTCTGGCGATGGCCCATTGCGTTCAGGTGCCTTCTGCAGGTACCTCTTCAACAAGGTCGGGAGTTGATACCAGCGCGGCTTTTCGTTTTTTTTCCTCTAGGCATGGCCATCCTCAATTAATCGCACAAAAAACAAGTCCAAGGCAGACAAACACACCCGAAGACGAACACCAAAACAAATCTCTACCGCAAATTCGTCAACAACTCAAACAAAAACAACAGATGAGTCACCGCCTGGCTTTCTCGGTAAATCGTCGTGGAACACGAGACACCACAGAATTATTATAATTACGTCAATACGAGCCTAGAACAGTATGGAAAGGGCTATCCAAGGGTAAGACGAGTTCCGAAACCACCCGAATCATGTCAAAAAATGGGTGTGATGTCACCAAAACGTTTGACCACCACTGGAAATCACTAGCTAGTTACCTTCTGGCGGCGTCACATGTGGAGGACACTGGTGTAGGAACAGCTGATCTTTAAATTCGGTTACGTTAAGTCGTGCATGAACCCGACAATAATCTTGCTACCATAATTTCTTCATTCGTGGACTGAATGAATAGTCTAAAACCTTCTCTGGTTATGTGGCTGAGATGATATGATAGCTTCTTGGGGCGGTATTCTCATGAAATAGAAGGATAAATTCTCACACATTTATTATTTGTAGATCTTTTTAAGCAAGCTTATAAATGATAATCAAACAAAGATTAAAACTTCAAACTTTATATAAATCAGATCAACAAAGCATGCAAGATGAAACCCAAAATAAAACAATAATGGAAATCACTACAATAAATAATTAAAAATCTCATAAAGATAATCAGAACTGATCACATTAAATACACAATCGAAAAATAATGTTACTTTTCCAAGTATCCAGTGGTGCTGATGAATAATGAGAAGATATATCTGAAAATAAAATGTCACGTTCCTTGTACAATATTCACAAGTCAGGTACAATTTAAACGGTACTCTAGTACTTCGATAATTCTTTCACCCTATCTGCGTGATACCGCAAAAAGATTTTGAACCTTCATTTTGATTTTTTAGTGTTCTCTGCTTTTGATTTCCTTCTAGAACAATTCTTCCAAATAGGCTGGGATCAAGCGTATCACGAAAAATCCATCATATGTTGGATAAAAATTATATAGGCTATATCAAATAAAATGACAAGCTTAAACTATAGATGTTGGTCCAAAGTTCTTTTGTGGCATACATTCAACGATCAAAATCCGAGATCTTGAAAACAGATAATTCAAACGTCGAGGTCCATATGATCCCGAACTAATACCCAGATATTAGATTTTCACTTAAAGAAAACAGTATAAAATCGCCATTCAACAGTTATCACGCACAGTGGTCTAGAACATCGAAAAGCTGGCAACAAAATTTCTGCGGCATTTATACAAATCTCAGTAACATAGGGTTTTTTGTGTCGGTGGTTAGTTTGTCTCTATGAGGTCATTCAAAGGCCATTTCAAGGTCATATCAAGGACAATGTCAAAAGAAGTCGAGCAGCTGATTCTAACCGTAAATCATTTAGGTTTTTCGGTTCACACAGTTCAAATTCGAAGTCAATTAGTCACTATGGGGGCATATGAAAGTCATTTCAAGGTCAATTTAATGGCAATTTCAAAACCAGTCCGGCATACCAAATCAGCGATCACTTTGTCTCTAGAAAGGCATTTAAAGGGAATTTTAGGGGCACTCAAAGAACAAATTTGAGAAAGTTTCCCAGCACCTTCCATAATATGGCAGTATATAAGATTGTATTTCTTAATAGTTCGCAGAAACTGACACTACATTTTATCTGGCAACTTCAAGGTTCACAAACATTTACTCCAATTGGGACTATGGTCTCTCTGAACAATGCTAGTATAAAGAAATGAAGTTAAAGATCCGTTCAATTCACGGTGTACATGAAAATAATGATAATGACAGATTTCTGTCATATCAAATAAAAGTTCGTACTCTATTATGATCCGTATTCAGATGCGCAAATACTTTTAACACACAACACAACGGATTATACAGAAGCTCTCTAATTTTTTCGTTAAAAATTAGTGTCAAATAACACATCACAAAGTCTAATACTCTACCATGGTAGAGGTAGAGTAAGCAAAGCTCTGATTTCATGGCTAACTTATTGTTTAAGGTATTAAACTTTAAAATAGATAATGATTTTAATTCATGTTCTTTTTTCAACTTTTACCAGGATTTCGCATAGATATACCACTGTGTGACCGACACAACGTTTAAAATAACAACGCCGCACCGGTAAAGAACAAAAAAAAGGGACGCGCTACCAGTCAGCATCTTCAAACATCCAGTCTTCATCCGGCACATAAACTCTCTCAGTCTGCACAATCGTTTTCACACGACATATTTCATCTCCTTGCCAATCTTCATCAGCGCTATCAATATCAGGGCTGGTTTGTCTCACTTCCGAAGGGGCATCCCAATCTTCAAGATCTATATCTTCACTGGCTACAATTCTCAGTTCACTCCCAGACTCTTCTGAGGTAAAACTCGATCTTGACCAATGTTCGCATCGCATTTGGACACCATCCATCCTACTGTAGCCATATTTTTCTCTATAGCTGATCTTCTTTTCAGAGTAAGAGTCTCCAAATTCTACCGTATCTAGGTAGTTGAATTCTAGATCAACATATTCGACTGTTTGGAGATTATACTTCAATGTATCTAATAAATTATCGTAGAGGTCTAGCGTTGAAAGATTTTTCATACTGAACAAGTCTGGAACTTGATCGATAGAATTTCGTGCAGCTTTAAGTACTTTCAAGCTTTGCAGCTCAAGTATTTCTTTGGGAATAGCAACTAGGGTATTATTTGAAATATCCAAAACCTCTAAGTTCACCATGTACTGTATTCCATCGGGAAACCAAGAAATTACATTTTTTTGAATGCTCAATTCTTTTAAACTTTCCAACCACAATATACCCTCAGGAAAAAACGAGATCGACAAGTCATTCAATTTTAGCACGGTTAGTTGTTTCCAAACTTGCTTGACGAATAAATCATCGATATCTTTGAACCTATTCGAATATTTATAATATTTGTTGCTTATATCTAAGTGTTCAAGTTGCTTGAAGCATCTCAAGAAGGCAAAATCGCTGTCAATCATGTCAGTATTTCTTAACTTCACCCTCTTTACTTTGGTAACATTGAGGTTAAAACTATTCTTCTTGAAATTATAATGACTAGCTTTATTACAGCTATAATTGAAATCTTCTAAGTTGGTACTCTTGAAGTTGAGGAGCCACTTTGGTAAGTCCTTAAATGAGTTATGGTTCAACTTCAATAACTTCAAAGAAAAGACGCAATCTGGTTCCATACCAAACTCTGAGATCGAATTGTGGCTCAAATCCAAGGATTCTAAGTACTTCAGGCCACTATACAGGCATAGAGGTACCTGTTGAAGCTTGTTGTGAGCTAGACCTAAATGTTTCAGTTTAAGTTGTTTCAAATATTGTGGCACTTCGGTTAGACAGCAATGGGAAAGCTCCAGTATAGTTATATTGTTTATATCTAAGCTTGCCTCTAACTTAATACTAGAGGATAATAAGTAGTTCAGAGCTTTTTCACAGTTGTTACTTTTATCATTGTCAATATCTTTGTTCACGATGATTTGTATTGAATTTTTCCGATTCTTCAGCGTAATCAGTTTATCTGTCGTATTATCAAAGCCTGAAAGAAAAGGTTTGCTGCATAACTGTTTAAAGCGTACCAAGAAGGGTAAAAATGATACTAATACCTTATTATGATACAGGATGCTAATAAATTACATGGCCAAGCTCCATGTTTCACTGGCCAATCGCAACCAGATGTGTTGTAAAAAATCTTTTTTATTGTAGACGTTATGGTCACAACGGTGACCGACTTCAGTACGATGACTTTGACAATATAAGTGCTTTATCTGTCTTCTTGGTGGCACTTCGTTTGTTATTTCTTTTCTTTGTCATATTCCTATACCACTGTATAATAATTGTTCAATTTTATGTAGGCTGATTGCTTTACCTTCCATTTGAATTGTCTTTCTAGTTCTTCTGTGGTCCATGCAGTGGCGAAGCGTCCATGTAACCAATGTTACCATTGGTAACAGTTAAAAATCTTGAAAATAAATATTTTATGACTAAGTGCTGTGAAATAATTTCATTTATATGTTTACCAACAGCAACATGTAATAGTACTTCAGTAAATAGCAAATTAGCCACAAGAAAATAATGCGCCCTATACTATCTAGATTTTGCGAACGCGATGAAGCTGACTCGCCTCGACTTGGTTGTCAGTTGTTACCATTTTCGTTTATGGATACACCTGATAGTCCATCGGGGACCGTCGGTGCCGGCTCGTGTCTGATCGCGGTCGCCAGAGTGCGTGGGCCGCTGCGACTATTATGAGGGCTTGTTACCACTTTTTGTTTTGGTTACTGACTTCTCACTCTTAAGTAGCCGTTTTAGTTACCGGCTGTAGTGTGCGTGCAATTACACGGATAAATGTCGCTGCGTAATCGATCAACTACTTAAAAAGTCATTCTCCTTATATAATTGTGAAGAAAAGAAGGAGATCATTGAAAATGAAGACCCAACACCTTATTTTAGATGATTTTAAAAAGGAATAAAAAAGAAGTTCGATATTTTAAATTATATAGTGAAAACTCTTGGTTATGAGAAAAACAGATTGTATTGTTGGCCATGTCTTATATTTTCTACAGAAAAAAATATATGGACCAGCAGCGGAGTCAAGGATTTAAATAGTTTTAGGGCTCTAAAGAGGAGACATGAAATTTTTCCGTTACATGTGAGATGTGTAGCCAATTTGATGCAGTTTGGCAAAACAAGAATCGAAGGTTGTCTTTACTAAGCTTTTAGGCAGCCCTCTTATAGATGCCGTATCATTTTTGGCCAAACAAGAATTACCATTTCGGGGTCATTTTGAAGTGGATGACTCTGGCAATATTGGAAATTACAGAGAATTGTTAACATTAATTGCCAAAAAAGATCAAACATTTTCCGAACATCTAGAAACGTCATCTGTTTTTTCGGAAGGCCTGGATTTGTCATAGTATAAGGCGATGAGGTATATCAAGTGCCCCAAACGCCCAGTGCGGCAATGTTTACCTTAATTTAAAAAAAGTTGAAATAAAATACCTAAAATTAGCAAAAACTTATATTTGGTACGTTCAAGATAAACTTTTTTTAAATAAGATCTTTCACATCTGGTTTTGGTAACAGTTTAGGAAAAGTCACGCGTCGCCACTGGGACCGTGACCTAATTTGGTTGAATATTCTTGATCCTGATATTTTCCAACTAAACTTATGGATTATGAGTTTTTTTCCACGTTTTTTCTAAGGGTTTCTTGATGCGCGCAGATGTTTTTCTTCTCCATCCCAATGGCAAACTGTTGTGTTTCCTATTTGCACAGGACAAACAACATAGTTCCCTTTGAATGCCGAAGTACGATTTCTCCCGTTTCGGGTCGATAAACAATGAATTTACAACATTTTAGTCGAAAATTGATTGACAATCAATCGGTGTGTTACGAAAAGAGTTCTGGGTGGGTTTTCACGTTTTTGGTAGGCTTTTGGCGTTTTCGGTACAATGGACAAGGGTGGCGTATCTGGTACAATTAAGCGACAGATAACCGTATGCTCGCTTTTATCTTTTGAGGGCCGTACGTGTAGGGGGGGAGGGTGCCTACATGCAGGCGTTCGTGGGCTATGCTGGTTTTGCGTGGTGCCAACTTAAAATTTGAAATGATGGATTCGCGCAATCTCATCATGTTACGGGACCCTTCATACTACTGTAGTAACATACTGTATAGGAATACGAAAATGACAAAACAAACGAAGTGTCACCTGGAAGACAGACAAATAAAATATATTGTCAAGATAATTGTAAGTTTGTAAGTAGTGGAAAAGGTCACCGTTGCGACCCAAATGTTTACAATAATAGTTATTTATTAAACAAGGGGAAAAAGTGCTAGATTTTAGCTAGTATTTTTCCCGTGTATAATACACACAATTTTTTTCTGTGACGGGAAAAACGACGATTTAATATTGAAAAATTATAGTATTAGCATATCTAAGTCAGAAAATTATCGATGTGGAATTTGAATTTTAAAATTAGTAAGCTATCTGTACTTAAAGCGGCAATTAGACCTGCGTTGCTAAGGAAACTTTTAAAGTAATAATATAGCTGTCAATTTAATTTTGTGGTTTGATTTAAAAATTGTGAACTTAGTGGTTGTTTAGAAGTTATTTTTAATACTATAAAATGAAAAATGTCTGATTCCAAGTTTTCTTTGACTCCACCGAAATAAGTAGAAGTAGCCAAAATAGCGTCACAAAAATTATCGCGAGCTAAATCGCGGAAAATTTACGAAACCGCGTATTCAAGATTCATGGAATGGAAGATAAAAAGAAACATACAGTTCTTTGTCGGAGACGGTGTTATTGGCTAATTTCTCGGATTTGGCTCAACAACAAAAACCATCAACAGTGTGGTCGAATTATTCAATGATGAAAAGTATGTTACGATCCAATAATAATGTAGACATTTCAAAATATTTCAAACTAATTACATTTCTGAAACAAAATGGAAAGGTTACAATCCCAAGAAAGCTATGATTTTTACGAGTACACAAATTAGTGATTTTTGAAATATGCTCCCGATGAAATTTATTTAATTGCCAAGGTTGTTGTTGTATTTGCGATTGCAGGAGCTTGTCGAATTTGTGAAATCAGCCAGGTAACATTAGATGATATTGATGATTTGTGTTATTAAATGTGAAACTTAAGGGAACAAAGAATGATGTAAACAGGAGATTTGTAGTTACTGAAAAATATATTAGATTTTACCGAACGTACATAGCCCTTCGTCCAGCAGCAGCAAAGGATCGCCGCCTGCTTTATGCATAAGACAATGGAAAATTATCAATCAGGTTGTGGGTAAAAACCAATTTGACACGGTTCCCGAAACAGTGGCTAATTTTCTTCAACTTGAAAATGCTAACTCATATACGGGTCAATCATTACGAAGATCGTCTGCTACACTTTTAGTTGAATCTGGGGGAGACTTGACACTAAAAAAACATGGCGGTTGCAAGTCATCAACGGTTGCTGAAGGGTATGTTGATGAATCGGTAGCACAAAGGACAGAAATAGCTAACAAAGTGTTTAGAACGTGTGGTAGTGCTGAAATAACATTGGATTTGCGACCAAGTAGGTACATTAACGGAAGTTGTGATGGCAGAAAAATAAATATATAATTTCAACACAAGAAAATTCGACTGTTGTACCGAATAGTTTAAGGAACGTGTCATTCATGCAATGCACATTTAATAATTGTACTTTTTATATAAAGGAAATGTAACTTTGTTGTATAATAAAATATTCTTAAATTAAATATCTACCTTTGCTTACGTGTTTATACAATATCCGGGAAATAGTACTAATTTTTTTCTCGGGGAAAAAGAGTTATTTCATAAAAAGCTGTTAGCTGTTAACAGAGATAAAATGTCAAACTTTTTTCCCGTCACAGAAAAAATACGATTTTTTCAACACGTGGTTTCGATTGACCAAAAAATATGGAGGACTATCGACACGATAACCACAGGATAAGTTTCAGGTCTTAAAAACCTCAGAGGGTGATTTCTTGGGTGAGTCTGAGAAGTTCATATAAACATAAATCGTACTTTTTTGAAAAATTCGTTTTTTCTTAATAATAGTAATAAACCGTTTCGTTCAAAATTGCTGAAACTTGGTAGATACTGACGTATCGTCCAAAATGTAAATGAAATTGAATAAAAAATTAATTGAAGCCGAAACCGCAAAAGAGAAATTTTAACGGATTTAAATCTGACGATCTAAATTGCCGTATATTTTCTGGTTATAAGAAGTCAAATTTACGACAATACAATAGTTATTACGAAAAAAAATGTATTATCTTCGAAACGATACAGAACCACATCTAAGTATGTGTTTATTATAGATACAGATTTTTCTTCGCAGATTAACCCATGTGAATTGAGCCGCGAAAAACAGATGGAAAATTGAACAAATGGCTATTATAAAAATTATAAACAACTTATAGTTATAACTATAACTATCAGTAAGCGACAGACTGGATAGTAAAGTTTGGGGGTCCTTGGATTTATAAATTTTTATGCCAATCCTTCAAATAAAAACTTCGTTAAGGTTCCAGCATGATCGCTTCGCAGGTTACTGTATATAATGGTTGATACCAAATCTTGCAGATGAAAATTTCCATAATTTCTAATTCCCCCCAAAAAACTCTTAAAAGTTGCATAATAATCTGTAGTAGTAGGTAACAGATATTAATTAGCCTTTTAGCAACCTACCCTGTGTAAAATGTAGATATAACAAAAAGTAATGAATCAAATTAAGTATATCGACGGTTTAAAGTTTAAATTGATTAGAACGTCTTTTACCAAGTAAGAACGAAAATCTCCACTCATTATCTCATAAAAGCACATCTACTACTGCGAAAATGATAATTCGTACGATATATGAGGAGTAAACTTCATCAATCTAACCAACTCAGTATTTTGAATCGAATCACGAATCATTCTTTGATCATCCATTACCGCATGCCACAGCAACACATCACTAGTTCACCATTTTACCAAACAACAACACAACAAAATAAGCAAATGTAGCGAAATATGAATGAAATTGCTCCAGAAAAGCATAAACATTTACTTACCCATTTTATTTAACACTGAAACACTGAACAACAGCTATATTTTCTATCTAAGTTGGGAGATTTCAGCAATGTTTTGATTCTACGCACCACCTTTGACGTCTATCAAAAAGTGAGGTTATGGTACGTCGGGGTTCGCCGCTCTCCGTGCAGGTGTTCCAGTGGCGCCGCGCCACGGGTTTTGTTTGGGTTTATACCTTTGGTTATACCATCGACAACTATAAAGGGGGTTTTCTTGAAGCATAGAGATAAATGGAAACACCATTCACAGAAAGGTATAAGTATCAAAAACTTTTGGATTTGACTACAAAGGTGCGAGTGATGTACTTATGCAGGGAGCTTCCTAAATATGCAAAAATGATGTAAATCATTCCAAGAATATCTCTATATGCGAATATTCAAGGATGTGAATCTACATGAAAAATTAATGTTATTTTGCTTTATAAACTATGGTTTTGGACCTTACAAAAACTCGGGGTGTTGAAGTTTTAGGAAAAAAAATGGAAATTAATTAATATTTTCAGAACCGCTTCAAATATTTCACTGATATTTAGTACGTAGTGAAAGTTAATAGAGTTGCAGATTTTTCAATGCAAAAATAATTTTTAGTTTTAATAGTGGCGTGCGTACGGGTATTGACTTCGATATTTTTTAAGAAAAAAATGGTACGCGAATGGTTTTTTGCCAAATAAAAATTATTTCTGAATTCCCCGTTCAATTTAAAACAAATGATCTGTCTTGAATTGTTTTCCTTCGATGCGCCAATTTTGAGTAAAAAAATAAAAACCGTTCTATTGTCCCAGAAAACTAATGTAATAATTGAAGAATGCAATTTAGCAATAAACATCTAGTTGCTCTGAAATATGTGACATCTGGCATTTGACATCTGAAAAGTCTCTGTTATTCAAATCTGTTCGCTGCGACATCTTTTTCATTATTTAGTTTTTACAATCTTGTTAATAATGGTGAATTATTCAAATACAGAAATGGCGGAAATACATTACGTATATGGTTTTACCGACGGTAATGGTGAGCAAGCCAGACGGATTTATCACCAGAGATATTCCGATCGTGCTTTGCCAGGTAGTCGAACCTTTTCTAATACTCATCATCGTCTTGTTGAAACTGGTTCTGTCCGAAAAGGAACATATGTAGACCTCTAAGTGTGAGAACACCTGAAATTGAGGAAGCAGTGCTGCACGAAGTCGAAGAGCATCCTAAAACGAGTACGAGGAAGATCGCTAGACATTTAAATATTTGCCATCAAACTGTTTGGAGAATTTCAGCGTATTTTTTGTTATATCCTTACCATATTGAGTACAGGCATTACTTCTCATTGATTTTCCAAGGTGTGTGTATATAAATAATAATTTTGCAAGTTAGACAATAGAACGGTTTTTATTTTTTTACTCAAAAATGGCGCCTAGAAGAAAAACAATTCAAGAGAGATCATTTGTTCTAAATTGAACGGCAAATTCAAAAATAGTTTTTGTTTGGCAAAAAACTATTGGCATACCATTTTTTTCTTAAAAAATATCGAAGTCAATACCCGTACGCACGCCACTGTTGAAGCTAAAAATTATTTTTGCATTGAAAAATATGCAACTTTATTAACTTTCACTTCGTACTAAATATCAGTGAAATATCTGAAGCGGTTCTGAAAATATTAATTAATTTCCATTTTTTCCTAAAACTTCAACACCCCGAGTTTTTGTAAGGAAACATTTTTGGACCATAGTTCATAAAGCAAACTAACATTAATTTTTCATGTAGATTCACACCCTTGAAGATCCGCATATCATTTAGGAACACCCTGTATACATATAGGCTCTGTGACATCATCATAGCTCCCCAACAGACTTGAGTGTGTTTTTTAATCGAAAGTTCTATCTGTCGAGATAGTTCCTACCTGTGTTTGACGTAAATTTGTTCATTTGTTTGAAAGTTACGGGGGGCTGCCGAACGTGGTGTGAACAACTCAAAAAGTGAGCGAATATACTTGAATGGGGTATCAGAAGAAAAGGTTTGATTTGTAGACTACTATGTCGGTCTTTTAATCAAAATTAGTCAAGTCACTTAAAGATAGAACCATTTTCCTGTATTATTATATCAATTCTACCAATAAACGTGTCCTCACTAGATTCACATGAAGATCTGGTATTTTTTAACTTGTGTAGCAATATTATCAAGAAAAGGCTCAAAAGACACCGCTTATTAAAAATGGTTTGGCAAAACAAAAGAGTACTACCTGAAGAAAGGTGCATTCAGCACCTAATATGGCAGCTATTCAAATGCAAACAATGAGGTCACAAATATCTATTAATTAAGAGATTGATTTAGGTACTAGGGAGTCTAGCTCCGACACTGAAGTAAAAATCCATGTGTTAATTACAGAGAACAGTAGGGCTTTATCAAGATCCTGCCTAGAGCATTGCAATCTCAGCTTTCTTAAAGAGAGATTTGCGGAAATTGGTTCCAGGCAGAGAAATATAACTTCTTTGCTCTAAGATAACGTTTACATTGCCCCGAAATGAAGTAATATCGGGAGACATGCTCTTATTTTAACTGGTAGATCTCATGAACTATGCGCTGCTGAGACTGGTTAGAAATTATATCACTATCGTAAATTGGCTAACAATGGAGAAATATATAGAATTATGCTCGTCGAGTTAGTGAATCCGATAGGGTTTCATCGATGATCATCAACGGTTTTATACACTACTCAAAGAAATTAAGGGAACAAAAAACAAATTTTTCGGTAATCTTTAGCAGCCTATATTTCGGTGAAAAATGGTCATATCTAGAGTTTGGAAGCTTTTGGATCCTTGTTTTCAGGTTCTTTAGCCGAAAAATTTTAGGAGCTACAGTTCTCATGCAATTCTAATAGCGCAAGGAAACTTTTCAGTCCACGGGCTTGAAATATTTTTCTGTCAGGTCATCATAAAGATTAAACTGTATCCATCGAAGAAACAAAGTAAAATCAAACATATACACCCGTATTGCACGTGATCAAGAACTTAACCGTAGAAGACGCTACAGGGCCGTATCAAGCTATTGTGACTGATCTATCAAAAAATGTCGTACAAGATATGTGTTGGTGTAAATTCTATCAAAAGCATAGTAAATTATCAGGAATATACCACGCCTTTCTAATCATATTTCGACATTAGGAATCAGTGCAAAAAATTCTGTATTGACCATTTCAGCAAAATGTTACTAAAACGCACACGAAAAAAACTTGTGGACCATCTCAATTGAAATTGTTCATATTTTATTATTAACTTACATATATACCCAATAATATTTACAAATCAACCGTCTTTTCACAATGCAGAGCAAATTTTTTTGAGGCAAATAGAAACTACAGACGTAGTAGTAGTAGTACAAAAGTTTATTACAGACTCCATAAAGTTTGTTAGTTTGATTGCTATTAAAATTTACATGAGAAATAGGAAGAAGGTCAAAATGGCACTATTATGCTTTGGAACTCCTAAATTCACCCTAATTTTGTGTAATTATAAATTTGGAATTTCCACATTAATAACTAGAAACTTACACTTTGATTGCAGTCTATAATGAACTTACCTGTCTTGCCAAAAAGCCCGTTAAACTGCCAGTCTTAATGGTATCAATCGATTTATATGCTGTATTCCGAGGAGCTTGAATCATCAGAGTTGTTGATGTCAATTATAAGGGGTTCAACTTGGGTGTCAATGATATTGTCCATATCCCACATTTTGGTTTCAACCTTCTCTTGGACATGGTCAATACATGTTCTCCATTTTGCTGGCGTAATTCTATCGACAGCAACATCAAACAGTTTTTTAAGGTCAGAAAACTTAGAAGTGCTGTTATTTGACGCCACGTATTGCTTGATGTCGGTCCAAATCAACTCGATAGGATTCAGTTCGCAGTGATAGGGGGGCAGCCTGAGAATCGTTTTATTTTGGTTTTTGGCCATTTCGTCAACAATTTTTAAATCATATTTACTTATATCGCTTGACTATATTTATCAGCTCAGCTTTGACCATTGTTTGGTCGAAGTCGATCTTTGAGACATGCCACTGTTGAATGTCTGCCTTTTTGGTGGCCATTGTTGGAATTTTTTCCAATTTTCTGGAGCGGTACGGGGCATTATCCATCACAATAATTGCGTTATCATCAAGTGTCGGCAAAATTTTTTTGAACCAATTTTCAAATGAGTTACCATCCATTTCTTCGTGATAGTCTCCAGTTTTTTTGGATTCAAATGCCCACAATGCTTCAGGAACAAATCCATCTACGCTACCTATGTGGCAAATGATCTGGCGTTTTCTCTGACGAAATTAAGCAACTTACTCTTTTTAGGTTAGTGTAGGATAGGGTCTTAGATTAGTTTTTGGGTGAAGGAAATACTCAGAAACTTGGATGAGATAGCAAAACTGAGTTCGGAGCTTCCAAATCATTGATTCGATCAGAAAATGAATTATCTGCATCCAAAAAAGTTCATATACTTCGAAACTTACCTGCAGGATTTTTCAATCCCGTCGAAAGGCCATCTGAAAAAGCCTGCCTTGAGGACCTTACAGATCTGTCTACCCAAACCTTTCCCTGCGTATGCCCCGCGTTCACCCATGTTTCGTCTAAATAATAAATTTTTCTTCCTTCAGCGCGGAATTTTTCTAAGGTATTCTCTCCTCCAGATAACAATTTCCTCCTTTTCTATCAATAAACTATTCCTTCCTCTTTTCAAAAATCGAAAGTCTAGTTCTTTCAACAGCTTATGGAACGTAGATCTTTTAAAATTTGGCAGGTCCTCATCATCATTCACTTGCTTCAATATTTTATCTATTGTAGGTATTTCATTCCTGAAGAAAAAGTGATGTACTTTTCTTCTAATGGCACTTTTGTCAAAGTCATCTATTTTTTCGATGATTTTTTTCCTCGCTGGATATGTTTTTGGCTCAGATAGTGAGTGATTTTGTCTATATTCCTTCAAGATTTTGTAAACACTTGATCGACCTACTCCAGAAATTTCAGCAACCTTACATACGATATTTTCTATAGCCAATCCACTATTCTCTTGCATCTGGTTCTTGTAGATATTTAGAATAATTTGTTTTTCACCTGCGCTAAGATGAAGC